AAAGGAAGAGAAGAAGAAGAAGAAGGAGAAGCTGAAGAAGAAGGAGGAGAAGTAGAAGAAAACGTATAAGAAGAAGGAGGAGGAGGAGCAGAAGGAGAATAAAAAGGAGAAGAAGAAGAAGAAGGAGGACGAGGAGAAGAAAAAGAAAAAGAAAAAGAAAGAGGAGAAGGAGGAGAAAAAGAAGGAAGAGAAGAAGAAGAAGAAAAAGAAGTAGGAGAAGAAGAAGGAGAATAAAAAGGAGGAGAAGAAGAAGGAGAAGGAGGACGAGGAGAAGAAGAAGATGAAAAAGGAGGAGGAGAAGGAAGAGGAGAAGAAGAAAAAGGAGGAGGAGGAGAAGGAGAAAGGACAAGAATTAAATGACAAACGGGGAATAGAATATGAGGCAGGAGAAGAAGGCTGCCCTGACAATTAACTGCGACCTAAAGTCGTTTCTGTCGAGTTGTCAAGTTGGTCGTAAAGCCTTGGTGGATTGACCTCAACCGGACTCGAACTCATCGAATTGTGGCAAGTGTCGTGGTGTTTGTGTGTGTGTGTGTGAATAAGACTTAGGCTTCCTGCGCGACTCTAATCTCCATTTGGAGGGCGGAATTGGCGGTCAAGACTGGTTGGCGCCGAGGACCGAAGGAGGATTGGCTGGCGTCGAGGGCCGATGACTGGATTGTGCCAACAGAAAAGGCCACGAGGCGAAAAAGACAAATGAACCATGCTCACCGTCTCGCGAGTATGCCCAGCCCAGCCCAGCCGAGCCGAGCCGGGCCTGAGCTGTAGGCGCGACACGTCACCCAATGCTGCAACCATCTGGTGCCGCCGGCTGCCGACTGGCCAGACTTTGCCGTCGTGCCGATGAGTCATCGCGTGCGATCGATTCGTGCAAAAACGTGAACGTACTACTGGCACCGGTTGACTGGCATTGCATTTGGCCCATCGGCAAGCCGGCAGGCTGAGCATGAGATGGCCACTTACGTCACGCGATGACTCATAGGGAGATGGCAAACTGGCGCGATTCCCTGTGCTTCACAAGACGTTGGCGCCATTGCGCTAAAGCATGGCTTCAAGCTCAGCCCCGGCTCGTCATACTCGTCTTCTTTTTCTTCTTCTTCTTTGTCTATTCATCCTTTTTCTTCTTTTTTTCATCTTTCTTCTTCTTCTTCTTCTTTGTCTATTCATCCTTTTTCTTCTTTTTCTCATCTTTCTTCTTCT